TTAAATATCTTTTAAACAAAATGATTATAGATTTTCACATTTTAAAGGTGCTGTATAACAGAATGGTTAACCTTTTGTTGTCATCCCAAAATTACAATTGGGAAATTATTCACATGACATTATTGATGTTAATGCTATTTCATTAAAATCATCACAGAAATCTCTTTCATTTGAACTTCCACAATACTTATACCAACTATAATAATAATAAGTGCATTTCAAAGATCTTTATAAAATACAAGCATAAATATCTTAATTTAATTAACTACATTTATACTATTATAATGAATAATCAATCATTAAACTTTTACTTAAGTAATTTATTTTAATACATTTATAATCCTCAACAGAATATATACAAGATGGATAAAATTATCTGCAAAAATTTGATGAAACTTAATCAAATTATTCACAATCATAAAGTGATATGTTTTATATTTTAAAACATTTATTTTAATGAAATACACATAATTAAGATCTATGTAATAAACATAAATTTTTTGTATAAGAATCTTCACAATCATAATTTTTACTAATACATTAATTATCTATCCATTAACAATAGATCTTTTAGTAATTGCATAATGATTAACTTAATGATAACCAACATGGAACTTAATTGAAAATAGTTTAACATCCATTTTATCCTGCAAAACAACTTTTTTTGCTTGATTAACATACTTGCCAATTAACAAATTTTTCATATTTAACAGGACAATCATTATATAATTGTTCACAAGCTGAATTTATTTCATTCCAATAACAACTTAATATTCCTTATAAACAGGCATTCTTATTTCTAAATTAACAATCTATAGTTAATTTAGTAAGATTTTAACAGAAATAGTTTTAATAAACACAATTTTCAAATGTATATTATAAACACAATTTTTTGGAAGCGCCAATTTAATTACATTTAAATTATTGTATAGGAAGAGGCTCTTTGCAAGTATTATCTAAAACATCAAAATAACATGGATTATTAGCATATCGACAGAGTTGTGGATTATAGTAATTCATATCATATTTGGATAAATTTATACATGAATCTGTAAAAGATATGTACATTTCTGTACATTTATTATCTTAAGTTATAAAGCATATTTAATTAGGAGTTGTAATTTGATTACAAATTTTAAGATTACTTTGATAACATTTTAACACTTCTAATAATTGTTATTAATATTATGAAGGTCCAGATATCAAATTACATTTATTATTATTAAAATAACAATTTTAGGTAGTAAATGCTACACATCTATGAATATTAATCATTCTTTAATATCCACAATCAAGATCATGGATTTAAGTAGTAGATGAAACACATTGGGAATCAATAACTTCACAAAATTAATCATCTGTTAAAGTTAGAGAAGAATGAGAACTCATTAATGTACATGTATTTAAATTAGATAAATCTTAGTAAGAATTACAATTAGTTTAGAATTATGATTAATAAGATCTGCATCTAACATAAGGCTCATTAGGAAGAGATCCCCAATAACAATTCTAATTTATAGTTGTTATTCCTATGCAGGTTTTATAGGAAATGTATTCAGAATTACAATTTATTATATTTAAGTAATTCTATGCATTCAAACATCTATTTTATACATTATCAAAATAACATTAACTAGTTGAATTGAAACAAGCTTAATTGTTAATATATAAATCACAACTATCAAATGAAGTAGTTATTATTTTACATCCAAAATTATCAAAATCATATCCACAACTAAAATCTTGATTAGTAAATCTACACACATTAGAACTAACATTTGGAAATTCATTACAATTATATTAAACAATTAAATTAACTTATAAGAAATTGCATTTATTATCTCTCCATTAACAATTTTCATTTTGATTCAAAAGACATTATTTTTAATTAATACCAGGAGTATTACAATGAATGTTATCTTAAGATGATAAGTAGCAACTTTACATTTCTAAATCATACAGACATGTTTCTTAATCCTTAACAACTCCATATTTACATAAATTTGGATTAACAAATTTCAATTAATCACATGGTATAGATTTATCAGTTATATGAACACATCTTTAATTAAAAGAATCCCATTTAGTATTTGAATTTATTAGAGCTAAACATAATTCTTTATTTATTCTTCCATTTATTCCATTATTACATGCTTTATTATTAATATTATAATCTTAATCTTAAAAGTCAATACAAGGCAAATATAAATTAATATTTTATGTTTTACAAGTCCTAGTATTTAAATCATAATAATTGTATTATTCTTTTTAAGACATACATAAATTGTAATTCATTATAATTTCAGAAGAAAAGGACAAAAAATGAGAAAATAGTTTTTAATCTTTTACATTTAAGCAATTATCAGCATTCCAAATACAAAATTAATCATAAATATTAATAGATGAACAACAGAATATTGTATTGCAATCAATACATTTTAATTATTCTATAAATTAAACTTCTTGGCATTTCAAATTTAATTCATTCCAATAACAATTCATACTAATTTTTTAACAATACTTCTTATTGAGTCCTAATTAATTACATCCATTAATAGGTCCACAAACTATAAATTATGATAGCTTTGAATCACTTAAATTTCCTAAATTGTCTCCTAACCATTTACATTAAGAATTTTATTCGCATGTAGATTAAGAAGTTAAATTTAAACATTATGATGAACATTCTCCTTTTGAATTAGATATATCTAAATAACAATATTATTCTATCACAGATGCACAATTATAATAAGTTGCAATACCACTTAATGATTAACAATCATTATTTTTTGTAATTGTAACAGCATTCATACATTAATATTCTTTTGTATAATCAATTACACATTTATTGTTAAAACTCTAAAACCTTTAACATACTAATCCACTCATATCTTAACACTACAACTAATTTTTATTAATATATGTTTAATCTTACAATTAATTTTATGTTATTTATTAACACTCTGAATTAATAAAAACAGTAAATACAGGATTAATAGGATGAATATTCAAATATTTACAATAAACATGATTTACACCTCTTATTGTTCCATTTAAATTAAATAATTATAAAAATTTATTTTCATTTAAGATTTCTTATGCTACACAACCATACCTACGAAAATCATTAAGTTTAGCTCAATTAAATATTAATTTTTACTTTCAGAAATTGATAATTTTGTTGATATTGTATACCATTTAAATAATTTTTGTTAGTCTAAATAGTTATCTTTTAAAATAGAATCTTAATATGTTATCGATTCTTTTTTTTCTGCTCCTGTTTCAATTTAAACTTTTTATTAAGCCTCACTTAAAATATCTGGATAATATCCCAAAAGAGTCTATAATATAGTATGATGAATGATTAAAAATCCTGTTATTTTACTACATACTGAAGCACTCAATTCTAAATCTTAAAAAATTAAATTTAAATTGTTTAATTCTGTTTAATTTAAATTAATGCATTAATCATCTTCCCATTTACATAATTAATCTGGATTTATTATAGAAAGACATCCAAATTTAGATAATTTATCTGTGCATTTTTAAAAATGTTTATCCTTAATGTTTTGACAATTCTTATCAAATAAACACATTGCCATTGTACCATCTAATTTTCCAAATTATTTCATGCAAAGTTTTTCACTTAAAGTTGGTTCACATCCTTATAAATAATTATTAGACCATTAACAATATTAACCATTCCATTTACATTATTCTTTCTTTATATTAATACAATCTTAATATGAGGTTTATTGAACACAAAAATCCATACACATCACTATTATTATCTGAGTAAAAATAATTACGATTCTCATTCAATTAATTCCTAATAACTATTATATTAATAATTTTATAAAGTATATGAAATTTATATCAACAAAAATTATAATAAATTACTTAGACTGATTAATATTTTAAAGTAAGTATTTTGAAATTAAATAAAACCTAATATCATAGTTTAGATGATTAAAATTTAGTAAAATTCTAATAAAGTTAGAATTAAATTTAATAAGACATGTAAAACTTTCCAAAAAATAAAATTTAGATGACAGATAAATATTCTATTCCAATTCTTTTAACTAAGAAAAATTCTAATTGTTTAGTTTTACCAAAAATATTGGAAACATAATTCATTAAATAGGATTATAATTTAATTTAAGTTAGTATAAATTGATGTTAACATAAATATGATCCAAATTGCTTAGGATTAAATTTATACTCTTAGTTATTTTAAATGTAATTATCTAAATGGTATAAAAAAGAATACCAAATCTGTAAGTAATCATTTAATATACAGTTTAATTTACATAAATAATTTATCTTAATTAGAAATACAGCTATTCAATAAGACTCTTTTAGACATTGCTATTGAAAGTGGATTGTGGAATTATTTAGTGAAGTCTAATCAGAACCGAAATCAAAATATCATTTTTGAATTATACCTATAAATAATAATCAATTTATTGCAATAGATATTTATTGATATTTAAGAGGTTCACAAATCTTAATAGAACTATTGTATTTAATTCAATTATTTATTTATTTAAGTCAATGTTAATATTAAGTAAAATTCACTTTTCAAAACAGAAACAAAAATTTATAAATTTGATAAAAATATATCAATACATATGATTAATATAAATAAACATTATTAGAAATATTTGAAATATATTAATAAGAAGTAGAAGAGTTAAAAAAATAAAAGAATATCAAATATTTTGTAAGTAGATCCTTATATTTAATTATATTCATCAATCTTTGATAAATAATAAGATAGACTTAATTCTAATTTAGGATAAAATTTTGCTAAGTTTCATAAAAAATATATTACTAATGGTTGTGACATATGCAAATTTTATAATTATAGAATTGAAAAATAGCAAAGATATTCTATTTTGTTTAATGTGCGATAAAGTATTTTGCATGAGATAATGTAAGTAAAATAAATATGAAAATTTGAATGAACATTCATAATAAGAGCATGGAGATGGAATATTTTATGTAAGTCTAATTACAGGAAGAATAACATTAATTTATATCATTATATAATGTTTTTGATTTATTTTAAGATGGAAAGTTTGGTTAAAGGGAATTGAATTCATTATCATATAAAGAATGGCAAATTTAGATGAATGATAAATAGAAAGTTAAAAAGTTAGTATGGTTAATGATATATAAATAATTTGGATATTGAATATGTAATAGAGATGTTAAAAATAATAAAGAAGTATATTTATAAGAACAGATGGTGGATTATGAATGTATTTATATTATTAATATAAGAAAAATATAAAATAAACAGATTTAATATTATTTTAAATTTCTTCATATAATTTTTTATACAACTTATCTAAAAACGAGTCCTGCGAATAAATTTTTTTTATTTAAGATTTTATCTTGAATTCTCCGTAAAAGCTGTTATTTATTAACAATTTTGCTAATTTTGGTTATATTATTATGAGGATAATAGAATTCATATTCCTAAACTTTATCAATATCAAATTCACTAATTTTTTCATCTGGAGGAATAGTTTTTTGAGAAATGGTATGACCATGTTCTTTAAATTAAGAAAAACTCTATCTTCTTGCTTAAGGAGATTAGAATTTATCATCATCATCATCATCACTTTGTTATTATTATTATTCATATCCTTGAAAACCAATTTTGTTTAAAAAGGTTTAATCAACTTAGACTCCTAATTATGTCCTCATTTTAATAATATGATCATAAGCACCATTAAGTATAATATTTCTTTATTATTTATATTTAGATTTTTTTCTAGCAAAGGATTACCTATTTTAAAAGTCANCATATGATTAATATAAATAAACATTATTAGAAATATTTGAAATATATTAATAAGAAGTAGAAGAGTTAAAAAAATAAAAGAATATCAAATATTTTGTAAGTAGATCCTTATATTTAATTATATTCATCAATCTTTGATAAATAATAAGATAGACTTAATTCTAATTTAGGATAAAATTTTGCTAAGTTTCATAAAAAATATATTACTAATGGTTGTGACATATGCAAATTTTATAATTATAGAATTGAAAAATAGCAAAGATATTCTATTTTGTTTAATGTGCGATAAAGTATTTTGCATGAGATAATGTAAGTAAAATAAATATGAAAATTTGAATGAACATTCATAATAAGAGCATGGAGATGGAATATTTTATGTAAGTCTAATTACAGGAAGAATAACATTAATTTATATCATTATATAATGTTTTTGATTTATTTTAAGATGGAAAGTTTGGTTAAAGGGAATTGAATTCATTATCATATAAAGAATGGCAAATTTAGATGAATGATAAATAGAAAGTTAAAAAGTTAGTATGGTTAATGATATATAAATAATTTGGATATTGAATATGTAATAGAGATGTTAAAAATAATAAAGAAGTATATTTATAAGAACAGATGGTGGATTATGAATGTATTTATATTATTAATATAAGAAAAATATAAAATAAACAGATTTAATATTATTTTAAATTTCTTCATATAATTTTTTATACAACTTATCTAAAAACGAGTCCTGCGAATAAATTTTTTTTATTTAAGATTTTATCTTGAATTCTCCGTAAAAGCTGTTATTTATTAACAATTTTGCTAATTTTGGTTATATTATTATGAGGATAATAGAATTCATATTCCTAAACTTTATCAATATCAAATTCACTAATTTTTTCATCTGGAGGAATAGTTTTTTGAGAAATGGTATGACCATGTTCTTTAAATTAAGAAAAACTCTATCTTCTTGCTTAAGGAGATTAGAATTTATCATCATCATCATCATCACTTTGTTATTATTATTATTCATATCCTTGAAAACCAATTTTGTTTAAAAAGGTTTAATCAACTTAGACTCCTAATTATGTCCTCATTTTAATAATATGATCATAAGCACCATTAAGTATAATATTTCTTTATTATTTATATTTAGATTTTTTTCTAGCAAAGGATTACCTATTTTAAAAGTCATTACTATGATATGTAGCTAATACTTTGCTATTATTTTTTTTAAAGAAAACTAATGGACAATTCTTAAATTAATGATGTGATTAACATGCTTCACAAATAATCAAATTAGTATTTTAACCAAAAACAGTATTATCAATAGCATATCTATATTATTCGAAACTAGATCTATGATTTTAGATGATAGATTAGAATTCAGAAAGATTTAAGAAGGCTACTTAAACAAAAGATGAAGCAACAATATTATATTACATTATGTCTTAATAAAAGAATTCTCTTTCACAAAGTAGATTACCTTACGAATATCTTTTAATAGGTTTTTCTAGAATAAGTGATTTAACTTATCCAGTTAAAACAATATATAATTAATTTGGTAATTCATCTTTTCTAATAAAATAAAAAATAATGAATACTTAATAATTATTTCTTCAGGAGCAAATGTTTTTTCATGAATACAAAAACATAATTTTTTAATTAAATCATCTGAGAAATTGGTTCCAAATAATTTAGAATGTTTTAAATAGCGATAATACATTGCTATTTAAACTTCTTATTTAAGTTTAGGATTGAGTTATCCCATAAGTTCATCTAAATCTAATTCTTCATCCTATTTGAATTATAGATAATATTCAATATATTTTCTGACTCTAAATTGTAACTGTGTATTTAATCCTCTTTGTTTGATATGATTACTCACTAATCTTAATCGGGAATTGTTGATATTAGTTTACTCTGCCATTTTATAGAAAATACTTTAAATCATTCCTAATGCGTACCCAAAAACTCCAGTAACTAAGAAGGTGATAATTGTGACTAATATTTTTTCAGGGGTTGTAACTGGAACAATATCGCCATATCCAACTGTCATCGATGTAATTGTAATCCAATATAGTGATGTGAAATATTTTGTATATAAATCTTCATCATATATGTTCTATTAATGTAACCATGTATGAGTATAACCTTAGTCTACTTCAAAAAGAGCAAAATAATGGAATAAACAAGCACAGAAATGAGATATCAATAATAAGGAATATATTAAACAAAATAATTAATAGATAACTGCACTTTTCTCTTTAAAATTAGATATCTCTTCAATTACTATCATTGTTCTTCTAACTCTTGTCATACGAATCAACATTAAATAATTTGCAGCTGAATATCCCATCCAAGATAAAATAAATGGTAAAACAATAGCTAAATCTAAACTAAAATCTCCTTTTATATAATGCCAAAATATTTTTGCTTTATTTCTCTACAATATCCCTCTATCATAATATCCCTTAAAAAATGTTAGAATTAAATCAATTAAAAATATACAACTTGGAATTGTACTAAAAAGAGTGAAAATGCTACCCAAATTATCCTCATTCAGATTAAATGATAATTACATAGGAACATAGAATATATTTGCTATTGTTACTAACATCATCAATAAATCCCATAAAAAAAGAAATTTATCAGCAGGCAATAGAACTGTTTTATCACTCTTTATAAAACACCAAAAACGCCACCATAATGGATTGTTAGCATGAGCATCATATTTTATTTATATCCACTAAGTTATTTCAATTTATTTACTCTTGTAGGTTTCTAAAATAACATAAAATTGTTAAGATAATATTGAAATGAAGCAGCCTTGTCTCTGATCAAAATAAAAATGTTTTTTTTTAATAATTTAAATCTGTATGTTGTAGAATTATGTTTAAGGCGAGTAATGAAAATTGTTATTTTTTAAATTATTCTTAAAGGCTTTGATTTCCAAACTCTAAATTATATTCAACATATATTTTTTACGAACTGTTTTCTAACATCTCCAATTATTTATCTACTTTATTAAGAGCTTCTAACTCAATCTCTTAATCTTCCATCTTCTCTTACTCTTCTTTCCTAAATTTGATTTTTTAGAGTCCAAGGATCATTAAAATAAAAATTATGTTTAGTTATTTAATATACTCAAATATACGTATTAATAATGCATGAATAAAAAATTACAATTAATCACCAATCATAACTATTCCGTAATAAATTACCTTAAAGTATTCCACAAGAAACTACAACTCCTAGATACAATCATTTAGCCTCAATCTAATTAATTAAATGCACAACTCACTTTTATTTCTCCTTTAATTTAGATTTACTCCTTATTCGACTCGTCCAATTTATTTTATCTAACCGAAGACCAAGAAACAATTAATATATTATTAAATAGTGATTCAAATACTAATGGATGCACATAATGGTTTCATTTTTAAGTTAGAGCATTAAAACCTACAGTAACAATAAAATTTAAAATATTAAATAATAGGAGAAGTAAGTAATTATTAACCAATTCTAAACCTTATACTTCCAAATCAACATGTTTTGATTTGCATTACTATAGAACCAATATTCATCATCCCTACTATGCAAATGATGATTAATATATATCCCAATATTAAAAATTAATGGCATTTTACACTCTTGAATTTAAATTCACTTTTACTGATGATGATATAATTACTTTTGCTTATGCTGAACCCTATCCTCTCTCAAGAGCACTTTAATTGAGAGATCATAAGACTATTGGACATACATAATTAAATAATCCAATTATATAAATTAAAAGAGGTAAAGCAAAATAATATGTTGTAATATTGGCTAGATAACATCCTAGTGAAACTAGTGGATCATTTGTAGTTGAAGAATTAATTAATATAATAGACTCATCTAAATATCGTTATATTATATATCCAATGGTAAATCCAGATGGAGTATTCTTAGGTAATAGTAGATGTAATTTACATGGAGTTGATTTAAATAGAAAATGGATCAATCCATAATTCTCATCAGAACCAGAAGTTTATCTGATTAAATAATCTTTAGAAAAATATAAATAGAAAATTGTAATGATGGTTGATTTGCATGGTCATTCAACTTAATAAAATTATTTTATTTTTGGATGTGCTAATAATGAAAATAATAATAATGAAATTAAGAGTTTTATTGCTTAATTTTAAAATCACTCTTTATTTAATCTAAAGTGTTGTTCCTTAGAAACATAAGCTAATAGAAAAAATACTGCTAGATAAACATTTTGGTATCAATACAAAGTGTAATTTTCAATTACTATTGAAATAAGTCTTTTTGGGACTGAAAATGGTAGATTTACTAATACAGATTATAAAGAGATTGCTAAACAAATATTTAATTCAATTGAAAATTGCAATGAGCCAATCTCTGATCAAATATAATTACCTATGATTGAAAATCTAGGTAATGATTAGAATGATTCTGAGAGTGAATGCGATGAAGATTTTGTACTTGATATGGTATTAAAGAAAAATAAATATTATGATAATAAGAGATTTTTGATTAAATAAAAAACTGTATAAGGAGAGACTTAATGTTTATAATAGTCAGAATAAGATCAGAAATTAAAATAATTATTATTACCAAAATTAAAAACAATTAAATCAATGACAAAATCAGAACATAAATAATAAACTAAAATGGAACATGAAAATTAGGTGAAATTAAAATAAGATTCATTTTAGAAGAATTTTAATATTATAAATTATTTTCCATAAAGAAATACTTAACCTAAAAGAATGAGTTCTATAAAAAAAGAATTCAATTTAAATAAAAACCCTCAAATAAAAGTTGAGTAATTGAAAAAATATTTAATTATATGAAATCATTCAAATCATTTATGTTTGTTGTAAATAAATTTTGATTTTCTACAATTCAAACAATACCATTTACTACTTGGTACTTTGAATTCTAATTGAGCTGGATCACAAAAAGTGTGGCAAAATGCATCATTACATTTGTCACAAATTAACATTAAATAAGGAGTGTGTGAACATTAACAAACTTAGCATCTCTCTTCATCATCATAATCACTATCATCTTCATAAAATTCATCTTCTTCTTAATTCCATTTTGGTAAATTTAAATTTAATTTTATTGGGTTGTTTTCTCTTTTCCCATCCTTTATTGGATAGATAAAATTGAATTTTGCTCGACAACAGGGACATTATGTTTTATAATTTTCTGCCCATTCTTTAATACAAGTTAAACATATCTAATGTTTGCAAACATCAATCTCACAAACATTTTAGACATCATCTAGATTCATCATACAAATTGGACATTCTTCTTAAGTCTATTATTTAAGTCTTGCTTTCTTTTTAGGTACAGAAATAAAATGCTTAGGTAATTTACTTGAACTTGGTACTTTCAATTACTAAATTATAATCAATATCTAACTTATTTTGGTATAATTGTAATAGTCTCTTTTGACTCTGGACTGTCTAAAATAAGTTTCTTTTTTCTTTATTTTTCATTAGACCATTAAATCTATTTATTCTGTGTCTAATTTGTCAGTTTGAACATTATATAATTTATTTTGTTTTTTAAAACAAATTTTTAATTAAATTAACATAAACTCAATCATTAGATCAAATAGAAGAATATTACAAATTCTTTAAGAATTGATGATTATTAAGACATTTTTAAATATTAACTAATTCTATCCTTAAAAAATATTATCTTTGTATAAAAAATAAAATGCCAATTTATAAAGTATTTATTTCTTATTTATTTTTTAATTCAAAATGAAATGTATTAAAAATGATGAAAAAAATAAATAAATATAATTATTACTATATTAAGAATGATAATCAATCAGCATCTTCAACATCTTTTTCATTCATTTCTAATTCTCTTAAATCTACTTCGATTATATCTTCTTCTTCCTATTGTGGTTTTTGTTCTTTGTTTTAATCTTTTTATTCTTTAATTTCAGATTTAATAGGTTTCTTTTTCTTTTTTTAACCTTTTGCCATAAATTTATTAGCTACAGTTTCATCGATATCTTATTCATCAAATAATAATTCAAAAACCTTAAAAATGATATAAAAATTAATACTTCTTGAGGTTTAAATTTATCACCTTAGAATCCTCCAGAATAAACAGTTGATTAAACATTTTATTTTTATTATGCTCTTTTAACAATCCTTTCTTCAATAGTACCTTTAGTTATCAATCTATAAACATAAACATCTTTAGTTCTCCCAATTCTATGAGCTCTATCAGTTGCTTAAGCATCCATTGTAGGATTCCAATCATTATCATAAAAAATCACAGCATCTGCTTATGTTAAAGTAATTCCTAAACCACCCGCTCTTGTAGATAAAAGAAATGCAAAAATCTTATCATTTTATTAAAATTCATTAACCATATCTCTTCTATCATTTATTTAACATTATCCATCCATTCTAAAATATGTATATCCTTTATGTAACATATATTCTTCTAAAATATCCAACATTCTTGTCATCTAACAAAATATTAGTACTCTCCATTATTTCTATTTTAAATCTTTTAATAATTTATCTAATTATAATAATTTTGATGATGATGCAATTAATGAATCTGAATTATTAGGTAAAATAAAACTAGCTTATGATTCATTGATAAATGATAACGCTTATCTATTATATAAACTTTAATTAAGTTTTTAATAGAATTATTATGATCTACATTCAAATGTTATAATTTAACTTTGAGCATTTGGTATGTAAAATTTAAATTACTTACAAAAACTATAATCTATGATATTCTTTGCATAATCAAAATTGCAAAGCAAAAGAATAAGATCAAAAATATTTTTTTAAAACAATCCATAAGGTAAATGATTTAATACAAAAGAAGCAAATGTTGAATCTCCTTTTTTTAATGAAGTATAAATATAATGTGCAGTAAATATACAAAACCTATCTTCAATTATATTATCATAAATTAATTTAGGAATTATAAATTTGATAGGATTTCTTTTTGTAACCTAAACTATAGGATTCTATTAATAAATTTCCACATTTTACTTATCCTAAAAAATGTAAGGACTCTTATATGGTTTTCTTTCAAAAAGTTCAGGATGATTACATATCTTTCTAAATTACATGACTAAATTCATTAGATTATCCACCTTTTATTTAGAATCCAACATTCTAAAAAATTCTTTGATAGATAATTTAGACTTCACATTTTTATAAAGTACTGCTTATCTGCTAGTCATTTCACAAATTATTTAAATTTCTCTTTTTTATCCTATTTCATTTTCTACATCTTTTTTTAATCTTCTTAACATAAAAGGTTTTAGTATAGCATGCAATCTCTATAATTAATGTTAATTTAAAGTTTTTTAATCCTGTGAATGAGCTTCAATATCTTTTGAAAACCACTCCTAAAATTAATCAAAACTATCAAAAAATTTAGGCATAATAAAATGTAATAATGCCCATAATTCTCCCATAGTATTTTAAATTGGAGTACCTGTTAATAATAATCTATTTCTAGCATTAAAAGATAACAATATCTACCATCTTTATGAATTAATATTTTTGATAGCTTAAGCCTCATCCAAAATCATATATTACCATCTTACTCTGTTGAATATTTTATTATCAGATACTACTAAATTATATGAAGTGACAACTATGTGAAATAATGATGATTTTTGTCCGAAATTCTTTTATTGAAAATATTTCCTTATAGTTTTTCTTTATTAAGCTTACCCCCAATATGGAAGTACTTTTAGAGAAGGACAAAACTTTTTAATTTCTTATTACCAATTATGTAATGTTGATGAAGGGGCTATTATTAAAAATGGACCCCAAACTTATTTAAAAGAACTAATATGAGATAATAATGCAATTGCTTAGATAGTTTTACCTAATCCCATTTCATCTGCTAAAATACCATTAATTCCTTAATCATACAAATTATCAAGCCATCTCAAACCTTTCAATTAATATTCTTTTAAATCACCTTAAAATATTGATGGAGGTGCTATAAGTGAAAAATCTCTATCTTAATCATTATGGTCCAGTTTTAATTCTTACATTTATACATTTTCTTATTCCTTTCCATCAAATTATTATAATTATCTTCTATTATCATTTATTACTTTTTAAACACTTTCAAATGCTTTTAATTCATCTATTTCTTCTATATATCCATTTGTATTTTAGATTTAAATATCCAAATTTATTCCTAATTTTTTAGCCATAAAATGTGCATATATATCAGATTATTTCATTAAAAATTCTAATCTTTTTTATTAAAGTATTTATTCTCTTTCTTCTTCTTCCTTCTTTTTTCTATCTTATTCTAATTTTTCTTTTCTTTTCTTTATTTCTATTAATTCTTTATCTCTCTTTCTCCAATAAGCTTAAGCTTCTTTTGATAATTTTTTAGCTCTTATCATAAAATCTTTTTAATATTTTTAGCATTTTTAATTTCGTCTTCTTGCTTCTTTTGCAGCAAAATATGCAATTCTTTTAAAAAATTCTCTAAAATCTTATCTAAATTTTGCTTTAAATCTTGCAATTTTAGTAACATTTTTAACAATAATATTCCAACTTTTCTTTTAATCTCCAACTTCGATAGGTTCTTCATATAATTCTTATTAAATAATAGTATTAAAATATTCATTCTATGTTGAAGATGAAAATTCATTTTTTGTCTAAAATAGATGATTATATATAAATAATACTTTTTTTTGCTTTTATTTATTAACCCGCCCAATTCTAGAATCAACATATGAAATTTTAAATGCATCTTCAAAATTATAACCAAGTAAAGGTAATTTAGATGGCTAAAATGTAGGTTAAAATTATTATGATGACTTTATAATAATATATTTAAATATTACCATCCCAATATGTATTTTCTATTCAAATACTGTTTCCAATTTATGGTTGTATTTTTCATGCAAATAATTTTCCATCATGTTAGGTTAATCTCTTAAAACTTTAGAAAAAAATGTTAACAATTTGCATTATATTTTACTTGAATTATTGGAAGAATAAAAGTGGCTCTTTGATTTTTCTACTAGGGCTTTTTTTAAAAAAACTTAATGAATATTATGACACATATTTACCCATTTATCTCTTGTTTTCTAAATAACATAAACGTGCTTTTTCTAATGATACATCTTCAATTAATGGATGTTTAAGGAAACAAACTAAATCAAATTTAGGTTCGTCTACTTTTTTTTTATGTGGATGTACTTATCGAGTGTTCTCAATCTTTAAGTATATAATAAATTATACCTCTGTAATCTTTTGAAGGAGCTAATCAATTTGATATTGTTTATCTTCTTCTTCTTCTGAACTCATATTAAAATTAAATAAAGATTTTTGTTTATTTAAGGGTTATTGCATTTTTTCATTAATTTTTATTTTTAAATATATATATATTCACTTCCCATTGAATAGATGTACTTATCCAATTGCTTAAGCCTCAAACATTTCCTTTCCACATATAGAATTATGTCTCTTCAATAAAGGATCATCACCTTAATTAGCTACAAATATTATTGTTTTTTCATCAAACCACTCCTCACACAATGGTAATTATGCACCTGGAGGTATTGTAGAAATAATCAAATCAAATTTATGAGTCTTCTCAGCCTATCTCATGAATTCCACTTTACTTTATTTTGCTAATGCTTCTACTTTTTATGGATTCCTTCCATATAAATATACTTATAATAAAAATAATTTTTATGCAACGAATATTGCTGTCTTTGCTGTACCACCATTTCCTAAAATCAAACATTTTTGCATATTCTTTGGAAATCTTTTAAATATTGGCCAAAACATACCCCACCAATCTGTATTAAATCCAATTAATTAATTCTCATATTTTATTATACAATTTACAGCACCAATTATTTGAGCCTCTATTGATTATTCTGTCAAATATTATTATATCTAAAAAAATATATTTATAATAATCTTACTTCTTCCTTAAAAGGCATAGTTATTGAAGCACCTTAGAAATTTATATCATTTATATATGGTTTTGTCTATTCAATTTTCTTTATTGAAACTTTACTATAAAATTTATTATGTTATTAATTTAACTTATCAAAATTTTGTTAATGAAGTAAATCACTTCTTGATAATGATAAATCATCACCAAATATATGATAATTTTAAGTTATCACAAAATTTGCTAAACTTCTTATTGATCTCAATTATTGTATTGTACATTAACCAACTGCTGTTGGTGTCAAACATGATAATGGTACCATAAATTTATTTAAAGTTCTATATAATTATGAATTTGGACCCATTGACACTACTAAATATGGAATTACAAATTTCATTCCCATAAATAATTTCGAAATTTCTTAGTATGTAAGTTCTGATGGATATGCATCTTGATGAATAGCTAATTTCAATAAACAAATTATGTTAGGATTGTGTTCTGAAATGTATTTCATTCTATCTATAAATTCAACTATCTACAATTTTTCTGTTTTTTCAAATAAATGTTATGATAAAATGATAGAATTAATATAATTATGTGAAATGTTTACATTCTTAAATTTATCCATCTCTATATCAAAATAATCCCCAATAAAACTATTTTACCATTTCTCTATTAAATTTATATATTATGTTCCAGTATAGAATCCACCTTGTGTCTTTGTTCTCAAAGTAAATATAATTGGAATCTCGAGGTAATATTTAATATTATAAATTTATTGTCTAATCTATTAAAATTATTCTTGAATATTCTCTATTTTATCCATTCTTATCTCTAATAAATTATGATTCCTATTTATAAAGTGAATTTTTTAATGATCCAAAATTATTAATTCTTCATAAAAAATACAAGCGAAATTAGTATCTTAAACATAAATTTTATTTTTAGGAAAATTTAAATGCAAAATGCATTTTATAAAATACAAATAAAGTTCATTAATTTTTTGATAATATCTTGTAATATCATAATTAGATGTAATTTATTGGATATATTTTCTACTAGGCAAAGTAAAAATGTATTTACTGACCCTCTCATATATTGATTTTCTCCTATTATAAATTTCAATAATATTTCCAATTTATGGTCTATTTTATGATTATAAATCTTCTATTAATTCATTAATATCTTTTTCAATCCAAATAACATTTTTACCAATTAATAACTATTATATTTATTCATCTTCTATGATTCCACCTCCACAATCAACAACTACATTCTTCTGATATTTCAATATTATCTATATAAACTATTCTTTTTCACATTTTCTAAATTATTCCCATCCATATTTAGTTACAAACTCATTTATATTTGTAGATATCATATTATCAATACTAATATATTCAAAACCTAATTGTTAACATATATATTATGATAGAGTACTTTTACCAGCACCTCTCATACCAATAATGTACAAAGGTTCTTTATAATATTAATAATTGTATAAAAATTCTTATTCTTAATTGTATGTTAATGCTTATTATTGTAAACCTAAACTTTAAATATGATTATAAAAATCAGGAAATGTTTTTCTTACACAATCCTTATTGTCTATAATAATACGATATTAATATTGCACTTTTTCAAAATGTCCTCCCAAAATACTGAATGCCATAGCAATTCTGTGATCATTAAATGTATTAATAATAACATCTTTTCTATAACCATTGTATTTTTGATATTTTTAGCCCCTGATTAAGATTTCATTGTTTTACTATAAACAAACCACACCAACTTTAATAAGATTTTCAGAGACAGCCTTTATTCTATCACATTCTTTGACTCTTTAATTTTCAATTCCTTTAATAATACATTGACCTTCAATCGAAGACATTAATAAAGCCAAAGATATAAAACAATCACTGAAATTAATGCAATTAACATTTTAAGGTCTTAAGTCTTAATTTTTTATTATTTTATAGAATCCCTATTCTCTCACAACTTACATACCCATCTACTCTATAACATCTAAAAATTATGCATCTCCTTATAACTTTGAAATCTTTTTAGTTTCAATAGATCCACCATTCAATCCAATATGTAATAAATCATAACTTAATGCTGTAGCATCAGGCTCAATATCATATGTTTAAGCTTTGTAAATACCTTTCCTTACTATAAATTTAGTTTTTGAAATCCTTTCCACTTTGACTCCATAAATATTCATCAATTAAATTGTCATTTCTATATAAGATTCACTAACAATTGTTTCATTCTCATTGCAATCTATGATTTCAATTAGAGTTTCATCATTTGGAAAATAAGGAGCAGACATTAAAATTCCAGAAACAAATTAACTACTCAATTGAGATTTAATTTTTATATGTTTTTCAAATTTACCATCAATCACTTTAAATGGTAATTATCCTTCTTTTTATAAATATCTAACATTTAAATTTAAAGCCTCTATCATCTCTTGTATGGGTCTTTCATAAATTCTTTAAGCTCCAACTATTGTGACATTCCCAATCAATGCTGCTATAGGTAATAGAAATCTAGCACAGGTTCCACTTTCCTTTACATTTATTGTGTATTCTTTTTTATAAAATTATCCCTAACATCCTTCTAAAATTAGAGTATGTTTAGAATGAGTTTGTATTTCACATAATCTTAATTCCTACAAAGAATTTAACATTGCTTTTGTATCATCTGAATCATAAAAGTTATTAAATGTACTTATTCCTTCTGATAAGGAACTTAATAGTAATACCCTATTCGTAATACTTTTAGATCCATGAATTGGCTTGCTTGGTCTAATATCTTAACACGCTATTACACATGATTTTACAAGTATCTTTTTTATTATATCCATCTTTATTGGAGTTGTATTAAATTTATGTTTACCTATCTCTTAAATAAACACAAAATTTATTTCATGCTTTACTACTTTTTTATCGAATTGTAAATATTTTAACACATCTTGAATGTTAATATACTCAGGAATTTCAATTGGTAATTCATATTTTAAAAAAACATTCCTTATTCTATTTTCATAGGATGATGTATCAATTCCATGTTCCTTTGCTAATATATTTGCTAACACCATCCCTATTGATACACATTCACCATGTAATAATTAGCCTTGACTTGCAAATTCAACTGCATGACCTATTGTATGACCATAATTTAAGATTTTTCGAATATTTTGCTCATATTTATCTTCTGTTACAATATTTAACTTTAAATTTATTCCATATTTGATAATATCTAACAGATTGGCTTAATTACTTGGGTCCATCAAATAGTTATAATCATAGCATTCTAATCTCTCAAACAATTTTCTATCAAAACAAGCTGCTATTTTTATGATTTCCGCCAAACCATTTAGAAAATTTCTTTTATCTAATGATTACAAAAATTAGCTGCACACTTTGATTCGATAAGGATCATTTATCACTCCTAGTTGATTCTTACCGTAGATGTTGTTGATACCTGTCTTTCCTCCAACACTAGCATCTGCCATTCCCAACAACGATGTGGGAATCAAAATGAATTTTATTCTGTTGAATAGTTAAATATACCAAACCCTCTCATATATATGCTAGACACAAATCCAACTAAGTCAGTCACAACTCCTCCTCCAATTGCGATAACTAAATCTTATCTACAAAATCTCTTGCTAAATAAGTATTCTGCCACCTCATTCGCAAAATGTAGATTTTTAGCACCTTCTCCTACTGGTAATGTGAATGTAGTGGCTTATGGAAATTTTTGACATATCTACTATAAGTAGAGTTGAGCTATATTAGTGTCTGAAACCTAATGTAGAAAATGTAGTTACAAAGCAGATTTATGGATTTCGAAGGTCTTGAATAGTGATGGCAAGGGAATCGAGTGTTTCATTAATAGTATTATGATAGTCAATGAGTGAGTTATCTTGATCAAGTTATTCTAAGTTAATGAAACTCATAAATTAAAAACGTATTATATATATATTACTATCAAAAACGGGTAATAAGTGTAAATCACTTGAGGATGGTTGGATGCATAATAAATAATTAAAAAAATGGCTAGATCATTAACAATATTGGCTATTGTTATTGCAGTTGCTACAGCACGATTGACAAAGAGTGAAAGTCCAAAAGAAATTTTGGCTTAAGTCAACAAGGATTCATTTGGTAATTCTATTCTTTCAGTTCTCCAACTCTAATTGGCTACTGGTGGACCTGTTGGTGAGATCTAAATCTTATTAAACAACATTGCTTCTTAATTAAATGGAGATTAAAAGAAGGCTGACAAAGTTCATGAAAGTGACACTGTTGCATTTGAAAAGATTATTGCTGACTTAGAATAAGAAATTGCTTATCATTAATCTTAAATTGTTTCACTCTCTAACTTGAGAGATTCAACAACTGAAGCCTTAGGTGAAGCTGAAGTAGAAGTCAGAGTTGTCACATCTGATATTGCCAATAACGAAAAAAGCTTTGCTGACGAATCAGCCACTAGACAATCATAACATGAAACATGGGTTAGAAAGGATGCAGAACATGTTGATTAAATGGATGCTATTGATGAAGCATCAAAAATTGTTTAACATTTATAAGCTGGTGTTGCATTTGCCTAACTTAAGAGCAGATTTGAAAAAGTCTAAGCTAAATTGATGGAAAGTAAACATGCTCTTTTCAAAGTATTTTTCATTTGCTATTATTACAGCCACTCATTAATGCCTTGACATAATTAGCCTCCAAGGTTGATAACAAGAGCATCATTAAAATCTTAGAACTCTTGGCTTAAATTAGATAATAATTGGTTGCCAGTAGAGCTTCTCTCCTTGCCACTGAAGAAAGATAAGCTGCTAATTGGGAAGTCTAAAGTTCTCACTTATAAGAAGAACACAAGAGATTAGTTGAAAGAAAAGCTTTCTTAGAAAACTCAATTGTCTAATTCAAAGTCACTATCTAAGAAGCTGTTGAAGACTTAGAAGATTAAACTGTAAATATATTTAACTATTTTTTAGTTATTCCTTGAAGATGCTGAAGATTCATTAGCTATTTAATAAAGATGGGCTGCTGAATAAGAAGCTTAATATGAAGCCTAAACTTTTGAAAGAGAATAATAATTAGAAGTTGTCGAAAGATTATAAGAAGTCTTAACTTAAAAATTAAGTGCAGCTTCAGAATTCCTCCAAGTTAGAGAAGAAGTATTTTGATTTATCATAATAATAATCAAGATCTAAAATTATTTTATCCCCCCTAAATTTCATATTCTATCATTTTTATTTTATATTAAATATGTTTCAAAATATATTATGTATATATATTTCATTATTATTTGATGCATAAATTACATCTGGACTATTTCCAAAACAAATAGATTCTATAAAATTATCTTATTGATATTCATTAAAGCATTTCCATTAATTTTAATCATCCTTCTTCCATAATTAAATTTTATTAGTTTCTCCTCCTATTGCCAATATTGATGAATCTTTATTAAATTCTATTGTTCTAATTTTAGATATATTATTAAAAATTTTTTAATTTTCTTTGTATTCATTTTTTTTTGAATCTTAATTATTAAAACAATGTACTAAACCATCCTTTGTACAAATTATTAAATCTTAATCGTTTTTACTAAATAAGATTCTTTTTGGAGTATTGTACAATTTTAATATTTAAAATAAAATTAATTTTGCTTCATTTATTTTCCAAATAATAACCTTTTAATCGCAAGCACCAACAGCTAATAATTTTCCATCACTTGAAATTTATAAACATGTAATTAATTCGCTTGATTTTTCTTAATAATATTTTAATAGATAGCGAGATTATTGTTCATACAAGAAAACTAAACGAGTTCCTTCTGCAAATATAATTTCAGTTTCTTCTTGATTGAAAGTAGCACATTATATTCTTTATTATCCAAGTCCTGGCTGAAGTTAGGGTTCATATATTTGCTTAATTAACCAAACGTCTGCTTTTAAAATCCAAATTTTAATTTGAGCTTTTGTTGTTTTTAGATAAACATGATTTTCATCATCTGATCCACTCGTTATTAAAATATTTTATAATTTACTAAATTTAAAATAAACTAAGGTTTTTGAATAACTTTTTAATGTTTTATCTTTAATCCATTTATTTTGAAATCCCTCTAATTTCCAAAAAAAAATATTCGTACATGGTTCACAAAATCTTGCCGCTAGAATAGTTTAATCGAAGTTTAATTGAATATCTGCTATCGATTAACTTGAGTTGGAACTTAATTTCTATCCATCTTAATCAAAAAATTAAACACCATTTTTTTCTACAGTCTTTACCATATCTATTTACTCATTTTTTATATTTTAATTCTATATTTAAGCATTAATTAAATTATTTTTCATTACAAAATTATTTATCAACTAATTTAATTGTTATACTAAATCTAAATATTAATTTTATTCAGCCTATTTTTAGTCATCCAAAGCCTATTGTTTTAAAATTAATTTTTTTTCAATTTCTTTAAAATTAACTTATTCGGACATACATTATGTTAAGTATTCAAATTCTTAAAGACCAATATCATTAATTTTATTAATGGCAACATACTAAATATGATAAATTATTTACATTGTGATCAAATGAATATAAAAACAATAGATATGATTCCAAACACTTAATGAAATTAGCACTATATAGTGGTTTAAATATTGAGTTTTAAATTTTATCATTCATTTGATTGAGGATATTTTAAATGTCTAAATATATTTTCTTGTAAGTTTCTTTTATCTAATCGTTTGAATTCTTACTAATTTGATAAAATTGTTCGCATAATTGGTTGAATTATTAAATTTTAATGCAGTACTAATTTTTCTAACAATTATCACATTTCATTCTTGATCTATCCTCACAAACCTTAGACATGTCCAAATAACTCAAAGGTTAGTTGTGTTGATAGCATTTAATATTTCGTTTTGTCAGATGTTCAATTAAGGAGAATTTTGTATATTGCATTATATTTAAAATAATAATAATTAAGATTATTAAGAAAAGGGTTTAAAAAAAAAATAAATATTTTAGAATTAAAAAATGATAACTCAAAATGGGATATAAAACAACTTTAAAATGAATTCAGATTGTACTTATTGAAATATTTGAGAAAAAGAAATTTAGCATATTTTATGAAGTAATTTTTCCTACTTTTTATGAGTCGCAATCAATGAAATATTTTTATCAATCTATCTGATTTTATAACTTAAAAATATATAATATATAACAACCATAATATAATAAAATAATATCATTTTAAATGGTGCATATAAATTTCATTATTATTTGACACATAAATAGCATCTGGATAATTTCCAAAACAAATGGATTCTATAAAATTATCTTATTTAGATTCATTAAAGCATTGCCATTAATTTTAACAATTCTTTTCCCATAATTAAATTATATTGGCTTCTCCTCCTATTGCCAAAATTGAAGAATCTTTATTAAATTGAATAGTCCTAATCTTATTCTGATTATTAAAAATCCTTTAATAATCTTTGTATTCATTTTTTTTTGAATCTTAATTAATATTAAAATAATGTACTATACCATCCTTTGTACAAATTATTAAATCTTAATCATTTTTACTAAATAATATTCTTTTTGGAGTACTAAATAATTTTAATGATTAAAATTAAATTAATTTAGCACCATCAATTCTCCATAAAGCAACTTTTTAATCAAAAGCTCCAATAGCTAATAATGTTCCATCATTTGACATTTCTAAAAATGTAATAATTTCACTAGATTTTTAAACAGAATACTTAAGTTCATAATCTAATTCTGGTCCTTTTTATTCTAGCATACCAAGACGTTATCCTTCTGAATAATAAATTTGCTTTTCAGATTTGCTAAATAAAACTTAAGATATTCTGGATAAACCACATCCATGAGGAACTATTGGTTTAAACATCTATTTTATAATCCATGCTTCACCTTGCTTTTTCCAAATTTTTAAAGAATGACTATTCTCAATCTCTTTAGAAAATTGAATTGTATTTGAACGAAAATCTGCACCACAAGTTATAAAAGAATTTTCTATTTTGCTTAATTTGAAATCAATTAAGCTTTGGGCATAACATTTAATATTGGTCCAAAATATCCAATTTTTTTTTTCAGAATGATATTTCCAAAAATTTATTGAATTATTTGGTTCTATAAATCTTAGGCAAAGAATAGATTAATCATAATTTATTTAAATATCTGCTATAGAAAATTTTTCTTTTATACAAAATTTTTCACTTTTTTCAATTTGAGGTGATCTTTAAATATTAGTTCTAGTTTAAGATTCATCTTTTTACTTTAATTAATTTACTTATTCAATTTATTAATTTCCTTAAATTTTTATGTCATTTTCTTATTGAAATTTGAGAATTTATTATTTCAAACTTTTGGCTAATTCCAAGTATTAATTTGTTTAAGCTAATTATTGATCATCAAGATCTTTAAATTTTAATGTATATTGATTGTTTTCAAAATTAAGAATAGTTTATCTTGATAGCAATTCTGCTAAATCTTGGAATTTCTTAATTCCATATTTCTAAAAAATCTAATCTTCTTTTTGTGTATTATTTGATTCTTTTAAAATTTCCTCCTTTAATTACAATTTGCAATTTATAAAGTTAATTAATAATTCCATACATATAGATGATGGTCTCTAAATACAAGAAATTTACATTAGTCTAATGTTTAAAGTTTCAAGTAAATCTTAGATTTCTTAAATTTATTTGTGAAAGCATAATTAAATACTTTAGGCAGTAGAAAAATTATAGTGTTAGAGGTTTTTATAGATTTCATCACATAGGTTGCCAAAAGTATCAATTGGAATACAATTATTATTAAGTTTGCATTAAGAACATTTGAGTCTTAATTTCACATCACAATTTAATGAAAGATCTATACATTTGTATAGTTGCTTATGCTAATTACATGTTAATTCATCGATTTATTGGTTGTTATTTTAAATGATGTTGAATTATTATAGATTAATCATTTTTTAAATAAATTATTGATTCATATTCTAAGGATTTACTTAAATACTTATAAATATCTCAGTATTAAACCATATATTTATAATATTGTTCTATTTTGAATGAAATTTCACAGAATATATCTTTATTCATATTTATTTAAATTTAATGTTAAAAACATTTTTAAATGAAGCTTAAATTTTTAATTATGCTAGAAAATTATATATGAACATTTAAAAATTCAGGTAATATGAATATTTGATAAATCTTTCATGTATAAACTCACCTAAATAAATCTAACTTTATTTGAAATGCTCTTTAAAGTGATAAAAATATTTCTTAATCAACCTATGTACATATATTTATCCTATTAAATTTCTTTTCACTGTTGTATTTTACAATAACTTGAGATATTTATTTAGTAAAATAAATAATTATATTACCAGAATTAATTACATAATATAAACTTATGTATTAAATTTTCAGAACAATGAAAATGATGAAATAAATAATAAGGCCCATTAGAATGTGTACACCAATAATAGCAACAAATAATTATTTGAATATATACAATCTGAATCAATTCTTTTTAAGAATGTCATTAGAAAATAATGATGATGATTTAGAAACAATTAAAGTAAAAGAAGAACTAAATATTCGTAGGTTAATTAAGAATCAGATATGAGGTGCCCTCAGATGATTGTTTGATTTATTCATAAATAAAATCAGAGAAATTAATAACAATTATAATCATCATTTGAATTTTAAATTATTTGATTATTCTGACAAATAAATAGTTTATATAAATGTAAAAGAATTAATTTTGAGATTCTCAATACTTGTTGCTCTTAATTTTAGATAAAAATTGTGGACAATTAAATTGGATATAAAAATACAATAACATGAAACTAAATCTGAAAGAAAAATAAATGAATTTAATATATATAGTTCATTAATTTAACTACTCGATAATAATCAAATGTTGATATTATTATTTTATTGTTTATCTTTAACAAAAGGATTATCTCCATTAGTATGTGGAGATGCTATTTAAGAAAAAGATTGTTTAGATGTTTTAAATGGAATGTATTTTATAATAATATTTAGATATTAATGCAAATGGACAGTAAATGGATGTGTCAATATGAAATGTGAATTGGCTACACCTCCTTGTGATCAATTAATTTATGAGAAAAAAGCTTGTTCAACAAGCGGAACTAATTGCGTTACAGTTTCATAATGTTCAGAAATTGATAACTAAAAGTCTTGTGAGGTTGTAAAAGCTGGTGGTAGAGATTGTATGTGGGATACAAATTGTAGAATAAAATAATGTTCTGATTATGATTAACCAAATTGTAAAATATCAAATGGAGATTATTGTATTTTTAAGGATGGTATATGTCAGAAGCTAGAATTATGCACTGATGTATCTACAAAGGAATTGTGTTAGAGTATTGATTTAAAAGATTAATGTGGATGGATAGAAAATAAATGCGATATTTTTGATTGCCAAAAATTTAAAAATTCAGAAGAATGTTTTTCTGCTGTATTAAACAATTAAACATGTTTTAATGGAGCTACTGATAATACCGTTGTTGATTGTATGAGTTGTTAAAATCTAAAAACTTAATGTGATTGTCAAAAGTATACTCTTTATGGTTGTAGATGGTAAGTTGATACATTAACTTGCTTTACTTAAAAGTATTAATTAATTAAAAAATAGATGTGAAGATTTTGAAGATACAATCTCTTGTGCATAATCTTTTGATGGATTAACTTGCATTTGGTATAATCCCTTAAATTAATGTAAATCAATTGTCAAAGCAAATGAATTAGATAGATAATGTGATTTATATGCTTTCAGTCAGACTATAATAGTGGGGTTTCTAATTTGGATGATCTATATATGAAATAAATAAATTTATCAAATCATAAGAGTAATGGTGATCTTTTATTGTACAATCTCTTTATATACCAAATCTACCATATTGTAACTAAAACAATAAAAATAGTTTCAATAACTGTAAATATATATATTTTCTTATTGGCTTCTTTTACTTATTAAGTTGATGATTCATATCGAATTTGTTAAAATTTATGATCATAATATAATTCTTAAAGTCCATTATGAATATAATCTATGTCTAATTCTAATGGATCAATATCTGTTGATTTTATTTTATCTTCTTTATCTTTTACAACATCAACAGCATATGTAAGTAATTGATTAGCCTTTTTTTTATTGTTAAATATTATTTAATACAAACCTATTTCATTTGCTTGAACAGTGAAATTTCCTTTATTTGTTGCCATCTTTGAATATATTGTTCTTCCATTTGGAGTTTTAACTGAAAAATCTATAACATCTTTGTGATGATTCACTTAATATGCTCCTTTTATTAATGTTGGTTCAGTTATATTCTCCAATAATACATCTTCTTAATTTGCTGTTAAAGTGAATGTTATAATGTCATCAGGAATAAAATCATAAAAACATTATACACTCACTAAAAACGTGGCATAAATAACTAAATATTTCATTATAAAAAATTAATTAATTAATTTTGGTATATAATTTCAATCCATAGATTCAGCTTCTTAAGGAATCCTAAATCCAATTTATTTCTTTTGATTATTTTTCATTTTATGTCTTCTTATTAGAAATACTAATAAAGAAAGTAATAAAACTATTGTAAAAATACCAAGGTATATGTAGTATACATTATTTTAAGCTTAGAATTTAGTTTCATCTTCATTTATAATACTTTATTATCTTTGATTTCGTAGCATTTCTTTTTTTATAATTAATTTTATTAAATCTCTCTCTTCATCGGTCAAATCATTTACTCCATTCTTACTTAAATAATCATCTACTTCCTTCTAAATTTCCTCCTCTGTTTTTCCCTATTCTAATTTTTCCCTTATTAATTCTCTTACTTTTTATCTATATTATTTCATTTGTTAATTTTGATTACTTTATTCTTCCTATTTCTTCACATCTAAAATAATTTCATCAATTGTTTTGTTATTTTATTCTAATGTTGTTGAATTACTAAAGAATATCTCTATAAATTCTTTCATCTTTTCTTGAATTTTCTATTCTGCCAAACCCTAATCTAAAAATTCTTATATCTAATATTCTATTTCCCTCAAATCCTATTCATTTTATTCTTAAATCATTTTATATTCATTTATATTCCATGTTGCTTTTGTTCCTCTATCAGGTTTATTTTAAAAATTTTCAATTTCTTCTTTAATTGTCTATAAAACTAAATTACTATTAAACACTTTTGATGAGTCTTTAAGTGCTCTATTTAAACTTTGAGAAATCTTTGTCAATACAATATCTTTATCTGTCGTATTTAGTTAACTAAAATATTATATATCATTTTCGAGCTTTATTTTCTCTTGTTCATTCTCTTTTTCCAGTTCCCCAATCATTTCAATCAAACTTTAAAAAATCTTTTATTTTTCTTCTTAATTTGCTGAAGCATAATATAATAATCCTTCACTTAATATATATCCTTCGATTAATTCCAATTCATCCTTTTGACTTTGTGTTAAATTACTTGAAATATGATCTAAAATTTAATCAAATGCTTCATTAGATTAATCCCATTTCTCACCTTTTTTTGGAGGAACTCCTTTTTATTACAAAAATCTCCCCTATATTACAAAAACAAGAATCAAAAGAATTATCATATTTTTATTAATATTTTAGTATATAGGCAATATTTAAAATTAAAAATTGCATTAACAATCAAATGTGCAAATATTTCAAAACAATTTACTTCCCTATTCGATCATAATTATTTTTTATAATATTTACTAACAATTTTGAATGATCCTAATTTTGCTTGTAAACAAACTCAAAAAATCTGAAGTTCATTATTTTTAATGGTTTCATAACAATTTATAAAGTGCAATAAAATGAAAATGATAAATTAATTATATATTTAATTTTTATCGTTAAACAGATTTTACTATGACTAGTGAAATTAGTGAGGATAGTAGTTTTTATGATATCAAATTTCCTAGATCTCTAACTACAAGTGTTAGAAAACAAGGCTAAGAAGACTACATTTTTGAAATGAAGGAGAAACAAAAACAAATTGAAGATTTAACTTATTAAGTTAAATTAATGGCAGCAAATAATTAAACATTAAATCTTTAGAATTAAATGCAAAAAAGCGAAATTGAAAGATTGCTTAGATTTATCAATGAATAATAAAATGAAATGAAAAAAATGGCTTAAAAAGATAATAAAAAATAAATAAATACAAGATCAATTAAAATGCAATTAATCAATAAAATGTGTTAATGGGCTAAGCAATTTCCATTAGATTAATAAATTTAATTTGAGTAAATAGTTTAAATGATTATATGAAATATTTCTAATTCAAAATTTTGTCACTAAAAATTATTTCATTAAAAATTGAATTTCTATCATCATTTCAGTAAAGGGTTTCTCCTGTTTTACTGATTTAGCAACTTGTTTCTCTAAATTATCAAATCCTTAAGATTAAAATTGTTGGAAATTGAAATATTTTTTGTTGCTTGATTCTTCATCTTCAGCTAATACATCAATTAAATTGAACATAGATTCCTTGATCTACAGAATAAAATTTCAAATTTACCGGCTTTTTGTACCTGTTTTTAATTCTATCCTTCATCCAATCTTAATTTGAAATGGATCTCTCTTCATTCAAGGAGTATTTTATATTTGGAGGACAAAATAACTATAATATGGCAAATATTTACTTAAGTCTTTATATCGAAATATCTTTAAACAAGTATCATCTCTATATCACAAAGTGTTTAGGTGCCAATTATTATGCGATTTTTTTTATTGTCATTTTCTAAAGTTGATATTTGTTGTTCATTAAAAACAGATGCTAGCGCACTAGCCATAGGAGGTACAAATGAATTTTTTTGTTCATTCATAAAAAAGTTGTTCGAATTGTTGAATTAAAAGCTTGGTACAGAGAAGCCTTAGAGGAATGCTGGAATTTGCAAATTATCTTTAAAAATTGAGTCATCTTGATAGAAAAATAATATTATACTTGAGTTATTAATTTGTAATTATGGAATTTGAGGGTTGTTATAATCCACCATTGAAGTAGGAGGGAAGTTATACACAAAACAAGGATATTAGGGTTATTAGTTTTGTTAGTCTTTTGAATGTGTCTAAATATCAATTGAATCATTAAGCATAATTAATATATATATTATAATAGAAAGTGTACAACGCAGAATATTTGAATGGATGTTAACATAATTTTCCATTCATTTTATATTTGAAAGACTTTTCATCAATGAACATTATTTTGTACTACATATTATCCTAAAAAATTATTTTATTTATTGAATTGCTTAAATAAGTTATTTAAGTTGACCAAAGAAACAATTATTAAAAATATGAAAAAGAAGGATAACTTAAAGTAAAACATCTACTGATAAATTTGTTGAAAATTGGAATTTAGTTTTAAAATTTTAATCATTGCATAAAATAAATTTTATTTTTTGCTGACTTCTTCCAAACAATTATTAATTAATGGATATATCAATAATTTATTTTTCATTATATAATATTTTGATATAAAATATTTTTGATTCAATCAGCTTTCTAATTTTAAAGTATGCCTTATCCTAAATACTCACATATAATATCAAATTTATCAGCAGCTGCATATAGTTTTTCTTTGAATGGTTTGGTTTCTTTTGAGGCTTCAGTAAATTCTTATTTTCTCTTGAAAAACATCTATGTATCAGATGGACAAAGTAAACAAGCTCTTTCTCTATAAATTTTGAATATTTATTTATTACGTATGAATGCATTATTCATGATAAGAATGACCACAAAGGAAATGATAAGAAGGTAAAGTCAATATAGCTTCACAACAACTACATTTAGTAGATTAAAAAACTTTTGCTTAAGTTTTTAATTTCTTATATTCAGTTCGTAAATCTGCAGCTTTCTTCATCTTTTCTTTGACAACTTTTTGGTATTCATCAATCTGTTTTTTATCTTTTGATATTTTATTAGTGAAATAACTCTTTACTAATTTAAAATTGACATTTTTATTTTTAGACAAAATATTCAATATCAATAAAGGTGAAAGATTTTCTAAAGTACTTACTTATACCAAAACTTCTTAGATATAATTTTCTGCACCATTCTCCGGCTTAGCAAAATATTTTAATGCTTATATCCATAGATTAGTTTCTTCTCTACCATATTCACTACATAAATTAATGATTTAATCATTCTCTTTCAAACTAATATAAAAATTTAATAATTCTTCTCTCATTTGTAACTTTTTTAAGAGAAATATAATTCCTGGTATAAAATTGTACATTTTAAATAATACTAATAAATGATTCTTATCATATTTCTTTTCATTTTCTTAGTTCTCTAACAATTTCATAATTCCTTATTCTTTGGTTTATAATTATGTATCTCTTATTCCCAGTTTATTTTCTTCTTTATAATATAATTAATATTTTTCTAAATGAAATTCAAAGTATCTGTGGAATATTGCTTTTTCGTTTGGTAAAGTTTTACAATTCTCAATTAAAAACTTAAGATAATTTTCCAAATATTCATTGTTAACAACAAATAAATGTAAAAATTCATCTGGTTTACCAAAAGTTATAGAAAATACTTTTTTAATTTCCTCATCTTACAAATTGAAATATCTCCATACTTTTAATTCTTCGGTAGTTAAAATGCTTATTGATTCAATTCCTTTTTGAGTATCAACTCTTTTTTTCAAATTTTAAACCATACTTATAAGCAAAACCAAATTCTATATAATTTCTAAACAAAATTCAGGTTCTGCCTTCATTAATTATTGTCCAAACTCTTTCAAATATTAAGCCTAATTTGATAGATAAACAAATTGATACTTTTTCATCCAATTAAATTTCATCCTTGATATACATTAAAGCACTTTTACAATCTTGCTTATTTTAATCTTTATTATTCTAATCTTTATTAGTTTCAATGAGTATGCTAAGATAAGCTTCATTTTTTTATCTAGATTTAGCTAATCTGAGAGCTAGATCAATATGACCTAATTATCTGCATTCTTTTATAGCAGTGTCAATATCAAATAAATCAGAATCAAAATTAGATTCCTTTAGAAATTCTTCTAGTTTAGTAATCTATTTTTGCTTTACATAACAATTCAATAATAAAGCTGTATGATTTTTGTCTGCTTATTTTTCATGATGTAATGCTGCTAAATATTAAATCAAAAAATCAACATGTGAAACATCTAAAAATTTACCAATTACATAAGAAGGTTCTAAAATTCCAGCTGTATTAATATATTATTTTATTGCTCCTTAAAAATCATGTTAATCATATAAATGATCACCATGTAAACGACTAATTTCAGCTAATAATGTTTTATCAGTAGATTAATTGTTAGCAAATCTATACATAACATCAAAATAATTATTTTTAAAAAAGATTTCAATTTTATGAGTATTTTCTTTCTCTGTCAATCTTAAAAGATTTCTTTCACCTTTATTATTTTGTGTTATTACATATAAATAATCTCCAACAGGAATAAATCTTTGAATTTTTTCGAATTTCTTATAATAAGCAATGTAATTATTTAGAAGATCAAATATTATTAATTGAACAGATTGATCTACTTATTCTTTATCTTATCTTGGAGAGATTAACATTATTAAATAATTTAATTTGTAAAATCTAATTTCGATTTTATCACCATCTACATTCCAAGTAGCTTCTTTCTTAGTATCACTATATTCTACTATAGTAGAAGTATCATCTTTTGGACATCCTATAAGATTTCCTTTAGCTGTTAAATCAAATAAAGCTCCTGCAGGGATAGAAAACTTCTTTCTATTTTACATATTCTAAAAGCAAATGATATTAGAATCAGTTGTACAAAATAAATTAAGATTTTAATCATTTTTACTTAGATGTACAGATTTGATTGGTTCTTAATCTGTTTAAATGATTTAATCTTTATGTTCCATCACCAATAAATTTTAACTTTTGGCTTTGAATATCAATATTTAGCCATCTTGTAAACCAAAAGCTAATGCACTTAAATCTTTAGCAACACAAAAGCAATTAAAATTTTGTAAAGGTTATCCAACTTTATTTACTAAGATAACTTTAATAGGTTCTATGAGTTTAGTGAAATTAAATTACTCATATTCTGATAATCAGTTGTATTTGGATCCCAAAATTTAACATAGCTACTCTTTTAGTTATTTTCACTGTCAATACCAAATGTGACTAATTTTCCCTAAGAACATGAATTATTGTTGTTATATTACATCTTTATTATCCTTTGAACATTTCATAACTCTGAATTAATCATTGTGAGGTTAAAAGAATCCTTGAATGGAATTTGCTTCATATACATATATAAGATTTTTAGACTAAGATGAGAGAAACAATTTAGTGGCAATTCCACATCCATCTGAGATTCCTATATCATTCAAAGTTGGGGTTGTTGGATCTCCACTATAATAAAATTAATGAATAATTTGATACTTAGCTCTTTGATCTTGAATATTTTCTTAATTAAAAAATTAAAATTTCTTTATCTGTTCAAGTTCTGTCTGTCTCATTCGAATTATTTATTATTTATTATTATAGTATTATTTTGTAAGAGATTAAACATTCTATAATTATGAATGAATAATTAAAAAGTTAAGATTTTTGTCATTAAAATAATATATTAATATTATGTTTGAGTCATTACTTGAAAAAGTATTGAATTCTGTTTTAGGCTAATTTATTGAAGGATTTGATGCATAAAATCTCCATATAGGTATTTGGAG